TATACAGTCGACCCCACTATAACACAAGTTCCCATCAGATTTACACATTATGAAAATAAAAACATTTACCTATATACCAATGAATCAATCTAAAATAATTTTTTCATACTGTGAAATGAGAACCAGAAAATTCTACCTACATTTTCTTTTATTTTAGTCTGTTTGGAAAATCATCTTTCTGTTAACAGAAAATTTTGTCAATTTATTAGTAGAGGAATAGAAGAAAATTTTTGGCATAAAAGTTTGGTTCTAATCTGCAAAAGTTGGCAAAACTTTGAATTATTCTGCTGTAAAATTGTCTTTAAGTCAAATAGCACTCTTTGTTCTCATCTCATATATTAAAGTTCATCTAAAATTTCATATGTTTGTTATTAGAACTCTCATTTTATTCCAGATAAAATTTTCTGTTTCTTGAAGTATACAAAGTCCTATCATTCACCAACATGTTCAAACAGGCACAATATAAAATGAGTAAATGAAAATGAGAATGATGTTTACCATTCTCATTTTCAATGACATTTTGTTTACTCATTCTATTTAACATATAATTCATTTAGGCTTCCTTCTTTATTTTGTCCTAAATTTATTGGTTTGACAATTACAATTTAACATTAATAAATATATACAATAATAAACAAAGCCAAATTTCTAAAGATAAACCAAGATACTTTGATCTAAAGAAAGGAAGATAATTTCTAATTATCTTCCTTTATTAGATTAATTTGGAAGAACTTAATTTTAAATTTAATTAATGCTTAAATATTAGAAAATAATTAAATTCTAATTATTAATATTTAAACATAGTGACAGCATCTATCTATCTTTAGACTAATTTAATTTAAAAATTTAATAAAAATAAATCAGATATAACTTGACTAATTAACATTGGTAACCATCAAAGTATATTTTCCTGTTTATTATTTATGCTGTTTAATTGACATCATAAATTTGTTTCATATTTTAATAAAATTCATTTTAAAGAAAATTTCTGAAACTTCAAGTAAAAATAAGAAATCTATTTTAATAATTTTTAATTTTATTGTTATTTCTGATTTGTGTATCACTTATTGGTTTCATTTTAAGCTTCACAATTTTTAATAAGAATCTAAATATTTAATTTATTCCACTACTCCATTTTTAGCAAAACAGCATAATTTAATACATCAATTATATCACAGAAATTAAATTGCTATAATTGCTGCAAAATAATAATAAAAAAAATTTACAGTATTAAGTGTTTTACTTTCTTAATTTAAAGAGTAATAGATTCATATATTTCAGAATAAAATGATTTTATTGAATTTAACTTACATTATCTTCTTTTTCACTAAATTCTTGTTTTTCAGATTCAATAGCTGAGTAATTACTTCTAAACAGATCAAAACATAATAATCTATATTCCAATAAAAATTCATAAAAATTTTTACAAAATAAAAAGTTGTAAAAGTTAAACAATTGTCTGTGATGGCAATCTTAAGCAAATTAAAAGTAAATATAAATTATTTTATTGAAAAAGCTTTTTATTTTCTTGATATGTAAACTGTTTTACAATAAGATTATAAAACCATTTACCTTGCTTTATTTCTCAAACTTGAAATCTTTTTGCAAAGTTCATCATCTAATTTTTGGTAACTTCTAATTTTATTATCTATATGTTTGTAATATTTATCTACAAGAATATATTTATGATGCAACTCTTTCCATTTTGCAGTCAGTTCATTAATATTTTCTTCTATTAAATAAAAACAGAATGTTATAAAAAATAAGTAATTTTATTTATATTTCGGTATTTTTAATCCTCAAGTTGCAAACTAATTTTTTAAGCTTATTTCCTTATTTTTTAGATAGTCTTCATTTGCACTTTTAAAAACTCTTGTAAATAAAATAAAAATATAACATTTATGGTAAAAATGTCAATAAAAATTATTACAAATGAATAATTTTGATTTGACAAATACATTCAAAGTATGTTTTTTCTAATAAAATTAAACTTCTTGTGAAATACACTATGAAAAACAAAACTTTTTAATTGTCTTTACTGAGAAAAAAGCCTAGGGTAATTTTGTTGCCAATTTAGTAATGAGAAATAGTTTTAAAATTCTATATTCAAAAATAATGATTCTATTATTTTTGAATATAGAATTTCTTGTATTATATGAAATTTGACATTTTAGCTAAATTTTAAAAATGTTTTGGCTCAAATTCAATAACAAAATAGTTCTTACATTCAGTTTCAAATGTAGTAATTAATATATCTAAAATTTCAAACGTTTTTATTCCAAAAAAATAAAATTCAATGTATGAAAGTTGAATTGAAAGTTTTTTCTAAATCTCTACATTTAATAAATATGTATTTACTAATTGAAGGAACTTGCAAGATATATTATTAAAAATATATCCTGAAAAGTTCTTCTCATTTAAATATCAAATACAAAATTAACCAATCTTTATGTAAATATTACTTCATAAATTTTATATATGTTATTTAAGTTATACTAACATTCAGTATACTAACATAAACTACCCAATACACTTGTATTATCAAATGATCTACCAATTATTTATCAGACTATATTAAAGCTACTTAATGAATAGATAGTGCCAAATGGCTTTGTATCTATTTATTAATTAGCATTAAGGCTAATTAATAAATAATCCAGCCGATCATTTGATAAATCAGTATAATCATCTTAGCCACAATAACAGTTAATTTCACTAAGACTAAAAACCAAATACAAGAGCCAATCAATTAATATTTACTAACCTTAAATTATAAAAATTATTGTATATACTGGTTTATAATATTTTTGCTTATTAAATATATCATCTTCAGGAATTTTTGTTACTTATCATTTTACAATTTTCTAAAAATTTATGATTCATATTTATAATTTTAAGTTTTTAAATTCTTTAACTTACATTTACATCAGTAATCTATGAAGTGTAAATGCAAAAATGATGTTAAAATATTCAAAAAATGCTAAACTAATCTTTCATAAATGAAATGAAACCAAATATCATACAGTATCAATATACTGTTATTTAATACCTTTATCAAGCATGTATTCATTGAAATACTGATTTTTTTAACAATAAATTCCTTATAAAAGATTTAAATTCTAATTTGTTATACAGTCGACCCCACTATAACACAAGTTCCCATCAGATTTACACATTATGAAAATAAAAACATTTACCTATATACCAATGAATCAATCTAAAATAATTTTTTCATACTGTGAAATGAGAACCAGAAAATTCTACCTACATTTTCTTTTATTTTAGTCTGTTTGGAAAATCATCTTTCTGTTAACAGAAAATTTTGTCAATTTATTAGTAGAGGAATAGAAGAAAATTTTTGGCATAAAAGTTTGGTTCTAATCTGCAAAAGTTGGCAAAACTTTGAATTATTCTGCTGTAAAATTGTCTTTAAGTCAAATAGCACTCTTTGTTCTCATCTCATATATTAAAGTTCATCTAAAATTTCATATGTTTGTTATTAGAACTCTCATTTTATTCCAGATAAAATTTTCTGTTTCTTGAAGTATACAAAGTCCTATCATTCACCAACATGTTCAAACAGGCACAATATAAAATGAGTAAATGAAAATGAGAATGATGTTTACCATTCTCATTTTCAATGACATTTTGTTTACTCATTCTATTTAACATATAATTCATTTAGGCTTCCTTCTTTATTTTGTCCTAAATTTATTGGTTTGACAATTACAATTTAACATTAATAAATATATACAATAATAAACAAAGCCAAATTTCTAAAGATAAACCAAGATACTTTGATCTAAAGAAAGGAAGATAATTTCTAATTATCTTCCTTTATTAGATTAATTTGGAAGAACTTAATTTTAAATTTAATTAATGCTTAAATATTAGAAAATAATTAAATTCTAATTATTAATATTTAAACATAGTGACAGCATCTATCTATCTTTAGACTAATTTAATTTAAAAATTTAATAAAAATAAATCAGATATAACTTGACTAATTAACATTGGTAACCATCAAAGTATATTTTCCTGTTTATTATTTATGCTGTTTAATTGACATCATAAATTTGTTTCATATTTTAATAAAATTCATTTTAAAGAAAATTTCTGAAACTTCAAGTAAAAATAAGAAATCTATTTTAATAATTTTTAATTTTATTGTTATTTCTGATTTGTGTATCACTTATTGGTTTCATTTTAAGCTTCACAATTTTTAATAAGAATCTAAATATTTAATTTATTCCACTACTCCATTTTTAGCAAAACAGCATAATTTAATACATCAATTATATCACAGAAATTAAATTGCTATAATTGCTGCAAAATAATAATAAAAAAAATTTACAGTATTAAGTGTTTTACTTTCTTAATTTAAAGAGTAATAGATTCATATATTTCAGAATAAAATGATTTTATTGAATTTAACTTACATTATCTTCTTTTTCACTAAATTCTTGTTTTTCAGATTCAATAGCTGAGTAATTACTTCTAAACAGATCAAAACATAATAATCTATATTCCAATAAAAATTCATAAAAATTTTTACAAAATAAAAAGTTGTAAAAGTTAAACAATTGTCTGTGATGGCAATCTTAAGCAAATTAAAAGTAAATATAAATTATTTTATTGAAAAAGCTTTTTATTTTCTTGATATGTAAACTGTTTTACAATAAGATTATAAAACCATTTACCTTGCTTTATTTCTCAAACTTGAAATCTTTTTGCAAAGTTCATCATCTAATTTTTGGTAACTTCTAATTTTATTATCTATATGTTTGTAATATTTATCTACAAGAATATATTTATGATGCAACTCTTTCCATTTTGCAGTCAGTTCATTAATATTTTCTTCTATTAAATAAAAACAGAATGTTATAAAAAATAAGTAATTTTATTTATATTTCGGTATTTTTAATCCTCAAGTTGCAAACTAATTTTTTAAGCTTATTTCCTTATTTTTTAGATAGTCTTCATTTGCACTTTTAAAAACTCTTGTAAATAAAATAAAAATATAACATTTATGGTAAAAATGTCAATAAAAATTATTACAAATGAATAATTTTGATTTGACAAATACATTCAAAGTATGTTTTTTCTAATAAAATTAAACTTCTTGTGAAATACACTATGAAAAACAAAACTTTTTAATTGTCTTTACTGAGAAAAAAGCCTAGGGTAATTTTGTTGCCAATTTAGTAATGAGAAATAGTTTTAAAATTCTATATTCAAAAATAATGATTCTATTATTTTTGAATATAGAATTTCTTGTATTATATGAAATTTGACATTTTAGCTAAATTTTAAAAATGTTTTGGCTCAAATTCAATAACAAAATAGTTCTTACATTCAGTTTCAAATGTAGTAATTAATATATCTAAAATTTCAAACGTTTTTATTCCAAAAAAATAAAATTCAATGTATGAAAGTTGAATTGAAAGTTTTTTCTAAATCTCTACATTTAATAAATATGTATTTACTAATTGAAGGAACTTGCAAGATATATTATTAAAAATATATCCTGAAAAGTTCTTCTCATTTAAATATCAAATACAAAATTAACCAATCTTTATGTAAATATTACTTCATAAATTTTATATATGTTATTTAAGTTATACTAACATTCAGTATACTAACATAAACTACCCAATACACTTGTATTATCAAATGATCTACCAATTATTTATCAGACTATATTAAAGCTACTTAATGAATAGATAGTGCCAAATGGCTTTGTATCTATTTATTAATTAGCATTAAGGCTAATTAATAAATAATCCAGCCGATCATTTGATAAATCAGTATAATCATCTTAGCCACAATAACAGTTAATTTCACTAAGACTAAAAACCAAATACAAGAGCCAATCAATTAATATTTACTAACCTTAAATTATAAAAATTATTGTATATACTGGTTTATAATATTTTTGCTTATTAAATATATCATCTTCAGGAATTTTTGTTACTTATCATTTTACAATTTTCTAAAAATTTATGATTCATATTTATAATTTTAAGTTTTTAAATTCTTTAACTTACATTTACATCAGTAATCTATGAAGTGTAAATGCAAAAATGATGTTAAAATATTCAAAAAATGCTAAACTAATCTTTCATAAATGAAATGAAACCAAATATCATACAGTATCAATATACTGTTATTTAATACCTTTATCAAGCATGTATTCATTGAAATACTGATTTTTTTAACAATAAATTCCTTATAAAAGATTTAAATTCTAATTTGTTATACAGTCGACCCCACTATAACACAAGTTCCTATAGTTAAGATTCCTATATCATGGCGAAAAAATTGCGACAGTATTCGTACAAACATGCTAAAAAACTCCTATAATTCGGTAAAACGTCATTGCCGACTTGTGTCGCAACAGGATTGGTCGAATCTAGACCAATAGCGGATATTGCACAAACCATTGAGTTTAAACGAGCACTGCACTTACTAAAAACCATTTATTATTTAACGTCCATAAAAATTATATTTATATTAATGATGTTAACAAAGTTCAGCGAATTTTTCACAAAAAAAAAAATAATAATAATAATAATATATCAGGAAGCATGCAAGCGCCATCCGATGACAAGCTCCACGACAAAAACAAGCTTAAGCAAAGGCGCCATCGAACAGTGCACACTTGGTAAGTAATCCTACAATTTTTTGTTTATAGCATAGTTTATATGGATTATTCCCAAAAAAATATACGTATTTTGGAAATGTTGAGTCGAATTAGTCTAGAATCGATTAATTTTATG